CCCCCCCCCGCCACATCACACCGAGGTGAGTAGCCGCGCTGCGGCGCGCGTCGTGGCCATGCCGAGCTGCGCTCGTGGCCGCGCCGGGTCGAGCTGGACCCGGCCCCGCGGCGGCGGCTGCTGCGCCCCACTTTACCCGCCCCACAGACGCGCACGATGGGATGCCTAACCCCACGGCGCCGTGCGAGCGAGACAACTCACAGCGTCTTTTTGTTTCAGCACAGTGCAGCACGGCGTGACTCTACCCCACCCCGCCCCGCCGCACTACGCGCCCGCACGCCACCGTTGTTTTACAACAGGTGAGAATGGTTCAAACGGTTTTACCCCTATTTGACCTTTGTAGAAATGAAATATTGGAGAGAGACGATACTGTTAGCCGCCGCCTATGGCTAATAGAAGTTTTGAAGTATATGTACCCCCTACAACATATAAGAAAATTTGAAACAATTATGGAAATAATTATAGTTGAGCTATGGTGGTTTGGCGGGCTCCCAACTTGGTATGAACTGCTGCCAGTATTACGGGATGCTCGTGACAACACTCGCCATTGGTATAGGGAGGGTCGAACTGATAGGGTCAAGTGGTCGCGGCGGATAGATGCCATTTATCAAAATGCATTCCACGGCGATGCAGGGGACTTTAGAATTAATGGGATGGATGCAAGTACTTTTTTAAACTCCAAATTTGATAAGAAAACACCGGTTGCATTAACGATTAAAATTTCAAGCACTTTTCCAGACTTAGTATGGCAGATATACAATGTAAAAGCTCTCACTATTGTTGCGGGTGAGAACTATTCAAGTAGTAAACTTATATTTACACTAACTGGATTTATTTTATCTTTTCCGAAATTGGTCAAAATTGTAAAAATAGCCCTACCTAATTTATCATCACCGCCTTATATACGGGACTATACTTCACCCATAGTTCAATGGACGTGCTGCAATGTCTGTCGTAAGAGTTGCTATCGCTATGTGGTCAAAAATAAGCAGACCTCCATACCTTACAAAGTTTAACCACCCATTATTCTCTCTCTCTCCTTGGCAGAAATGAGTCGAACCCCACAACCTCTTTTTAATCTGACTTCCGCGTTCATGTGTGGGGTGCGTAATGTGCGGGTGCAATTGGTATGGTTTGAGTTTCTGTGCAAATATGCACACATCAAAAGCTTTAAATTGGAAATTAACCGTCTACTTTCTTCTATCCACCACCCACCCAAACCAATAACAACTATTATACTGCGAAGAATATTGGATGAGGCGCTTTCAAGATATAAAAATTGGGGAATTAGAGTTAAATATCTAGAATGGCTGGCGGAGGAGGTGTATGACCGCTTTAGCCACTACAATTTTCCAATGCTAGCAAAAGCGCTAGACGAGGGCACATGCCTTAACCTCAATATATGTCCGCTGTCGGCCGGGGACGAGTGCTGGGGCCTACTTAATATTCGACGCGTACAATTTCTCCTTCTCTACCCCAATTGGTATAGTCAAAAGCATTGGCGCGTCGAATGCTTTAAAAGAATAAATATATTTCTTCTCAATGTGAAAAGTCCACTCGAACGCTTTCGCATTATTACTCCCGTGGGGCAAGATGTATGGGATATTCGTGGCTATGAAAAGCCAAGACGACTTTTTATGTACTGCTGCAACATATGTAATCTTACTAGTTATGAATACATAAAAAAATAAAAAGCCTTTATATTAAAATTGTCGTTTTTCATTTTAATTTCAGAACGCTTCGCACCTCACCTTCAGCCACCTACTGCAAGCCTACAACATAGTGAGTAATGGATATTTTAAACAATGATTGTATTGAACGCGTGCTCGGGCGGTGGGCGGAAGCGGCGAAAGGGGAAACGATTGACGCGTAAAAAGCGGGGTGGGCGGCGCAAGGCTATGCGCACCAAGGGAGACATTTTTGAAAGTATATAAGGGCTAGACCGCCCGAAGTAGTGTATACCATTTCAAGATGGCAACTTCCTCGCAGTTTGAGCCGGTGGCTCAGTCCCGCCTTGACATATTTAATTCTCAAAAAGCGCAAATTACTCAAGTTGGACATACAAAGATTGTACTGCAACCTCACAATTCAATCGACCAGCGGTCAAAGCGCATACTTTTTCGAAGCATTGGCAAGGGCACTGATTTTTATCGCTTTTTTAGAATTTTATCTTTTGATGCGGACTGGTCTTTGACAAAGCCCGATGGCACAGTTGTTGAAGAGGCAACCGAGCCTGGCGTCATTAATTACATCAATCAGACTTGCATCGATTCTCTAGACATAAAATTAAATAGCACCTATGTCACGCGCAATACGCAAAACTATGCTTATCGGGCGTATATTGAAGCGCTCATGTCTGGTAATATGCTTGAGGCCCAAGGACGCCTCGCGTGCTCAGGCTTTTACCAAGATTCGGCAAATTCAGACACGGCTGACAAAACAGTAAATCTTGGTTTTGCAAAGCGCATGGGTCTTTTCAAGGGTGGAAAGACGGTGTGCACCATTGGAAAACTTCACACGGAT